TCCAAATTGTCTTCTGAAAAAATAGGCATCCTATACTCAAGCTTACTCATTTGTTCTAAAAATACTTTTTGATAGGCCACTACATCCTCTTTTTCATATCTATCTATATAAATTCCCTTCTTCACCTTTGCATAGTTATATTCAAGCTTTCTTAAATATTTTCTTGCAGTATTAACATGAATGGTTGGGGGTGGTGAAAATCCAAGTCCTGGCAAAATAATATCATTCATTTGTACTATCAACATCTGTGAAGTAATATCCCATTTATGTTCCTGAATATACAATTTTATTTGTAAAAGAATATCCTCATCCCAAAGAAAACTTAATATTTTAGCATGATGTCCTCAGCAGAAGTAAGGAATTTGGCGGGTCATTACATATTCATGTGCCTAAGAACGAATACATCTGGCATGATATACCCCTTTTCCTGTCACGTCAGCAACAACCTCGCTTGCATTCATTTTGAATAGTCGCATTTTACAAGTTGGAGATAAAGACGGATGCCATTTAAACGTATCCAAACCTCACTTTTTACATTTTCTTTTTCAATATCTAACTTTAGATTTTCAAGTTTAGCCAGAATTTTATTATTCCAATTGTAATCCTCAGTCTCGTCATCTGATATATCAGATAGTTCACCAATATCATCGTTTTCCTTGGTAGATTTCTCAGTATCCCAAAAGGTATATAACATAACTGTTCCTTTTGCTACCTCACATTGTTGCTGATTTCTTCTTCTTTTAGTCCAGCTCGAATTTTCTATGTAACATGATCTATGTACTTTATGTGAAGCATATTTCAGATAATGTTCTTTTGCTGTTTCTTGAAATTTTTTTACAATATTTATAGCATTATTATTTTCTATTTGTTCATCACAAACAGAATCATCATCATATCCTTTCAGCTCATCATCAAAGGAAATATCAGGGTCTTTTAGATCATCGTCAACATTATCATAATCTTTAAAGTCATCATAGTCAAATACATTACTAACGTTAGCTTGCATTAGTGATATCTTATGAAATTACTTTTCTTAATATGACGAAATTGATGAAACTGAAATGACGAAACTAGTTTTTTATTAATGATAAAATTATTTTACTTAATTGCCGAAATTATATTTAACTTGATCTAAATTCCTTGAATTAAAATACATTAAAAAATATAATAATTTTATATTTATTTATATAAAAATATTACAGAGACGAAATTTTTGATGAAATTACAATTTTTCAAAAAAGAGTTTAGTTAGGTATCACTAGTAGTAACAGTTTAAAAAATCTCGTTATTAATTGTCTATTTTTAACTAAAAGCTGTTTAGCTTATGCTTTTTTTTTTGATCTGTTCGAACAGAATTTTCAATATAAATATATTTCGAGTAGATGGTACATAATTTTTCATTCTATCTAACAAAACTTTAATAAAAGTTTCAGGTTCTTGATCAAATTCAACATCTTCCCATATTATTTCTTCTTCATTTTCCCATTTTGAATCACTATCATCAAAATCTGAATGTTCTAAAGGCACAGATGACTTGTCTGTTTTTTTAGCTAAATTTTTATTTGTTTTTTGCGTTTTGAAAGCGGTGGCATAATAAAATTGAAAAAAATTTTTTTTTGAATAATTGGGAAAAAAAAAAAAATTTTTTTACATGAAAAATTTTTTTTCGGGATATATTATTGGTGCCAAATTTGAAAATCTCCTATATATAATTAAGAAAATGTTTATCAGAAATTTGACGATACTTTTTTAAGAAGTGATCAGATTTAAAAAATCTCTTTGTAATTTGAAAGCTTAAGATTCAATCCATTAAAGTACGATAGGTTTTTACAAAAAACTTTATTTTTCAGAAAATAGATATATTTTTAAGGGGGAATACTAAATTTGCCGTAACTAAGGGTCTCAAGCTGTAGTAAATTTGATTAAAAATTTGTTATATTCAATTATTTTATTTAATAAAATTCAGAATCATTCATGAAATTTACAATAACAAAATATTTGAAATATAGAAATTTGTTATAGTGAGATTCAACTATATCTGTTTTAGTAATTGCTAAATCCAATCTAATTGTTTACCTGTAAATGATATCACAAATTATTTGAAGATATTTGTATTTATAGAAAGAATCACTATATATGAATAGTTTAAGTAAGCTAACTTAATCAACTTAACTAAGATTAGCAATAGAATCTTATATTATAAATTATTTTTGAAACTTATTATTTATATATAATATGAGCAATTATAATAAATAATATTGATAATGATGATAATGAAATTAGAACCGAAGAACCTATTGAGGAAGATGATAATAAACTATCAGGTTTTATAATTGACTATAACATAGTCTAATTATCAGTATAGAAATATTTAATACAAATACAGAAAAATATCACAGTCAGCTAATTTGTAAAAAATGCAAGATTAAACTTTCAGTATCATTTTTAACTTTAATTTTAAAAAGGCATTTGAATAAATATAATATTATAAGATTTAAATATTAAAAGATCATGTATAAATTTCATAATGATTCTTATCCTAAGCATGAACAATAAGAATGAGATAAATATGTTATAAATTGGATTATTTATGATACTTAACCATTTGATAGTGTTATGAAATATAATGAATGGAGACAAATGATTTCTAAATTTGATATAAGATACTGATTTTATAGTTGACATACTACTAAGAATCAAATAATAATATTATTTTAGAAAAAAAGAACAACTAAAGTTAGTATTAAGTCAAATTCCTGAAAAATAACTTTTACTTCAAATATGTAAACAGTAGTAAACAATGCTGCTTTTTTAAGTCTTACTATACATTATGTAGATGCTTCTTAGAAGTTAAAATTCTTCCTTTTTAATATTATCCTAATATCTGTTTATCATTTTGGAATAATATGATGGATATTATAATAGTAATTTTTTGTGAGTTTAATTTATCAAAAAAGGCTTTAGCAATAATAACTAATATATAAATTCAATAATTTTGTATAATATATTTATATCAGAAAGACTTAAAGAGGAATCTATCATCTATAATTTGATTGTAAATCACTATACTAACTTGCTTTTGAATTTATTACTTAGAATAAATAAATTTCTAGTTTTCTTTTAAGTTTCTAAACCTTAGTTAAATAAAGTAATTGCAAGGAATTCCAGATACCTGTAGGCAGTGTTGTCATGGGACATTTTTGGGACATGGCCTGAGACATTGGGACTTAATGTGGGACATTTTGGGACATAGTGTGGGACAGTCTCAAAATGTTTGGGACATCAAAAATGTACATCACTGCCTGTAGGACGTGAGATTTCCTAAAGTTATAAAGTCTAATAATAAGAAACTTACTTACTATATTAAAGTAACTTAGCAGAACATGTGTAAAGAGAATTATTTCTGGTAAAATATGAAAAATAAGGTAATAACAAATAAAAATGTTGATTTCTTAGATCACTTATCTTATTTTCTATTAATATTTTGAATGTTTATAGTAATCTTTAGACAAATACATATTAAGTAGAAAGGAAATTAGTTAGCCATATTTTAGCTAAAAAATTTTAATATTATTTTAATTTATCTTCTTTTATTATTAATTCCTATAGTTAAGATTGCTTGATAAAATCTAGAGTTTAGCCAAACATCTAAATAGTAAAGATAAAACTTGATTAAATTATATTAAAAAATCTGCAAAATTCAGAAAGCTTATAAAATGGCGTAAAAATTAAAGGTTTAGGGTTTAGCCAAATCCAAAATGAGTTTAGTCAAGCAACCTTACCTATGATACTTTTCCTACTTTAACAGTAGAGGTTTTGGAAGTTTTAGCATTTTAAAACACCTGAGATGATACCATATCTTACAAAGATTTTTCCTAAATAATATTATTACATACCGCGTCATATACTGGAAATAATTTTACCTAGTATTAAATAAATAATGAATTCTAAAAAAACACGGAGATACCATGTGCGATGTTACATATTTTTATAATAAATATTAGCCATTTTGGTAGTAAAATCATGTGGTTCGTGATCATATGATTTTTTTAAATTTTGGCGGTATTATATAAAGAAATATTTACAAATTTTTTCTTTATTTTACACAACACATTTTTTTCTAACACTTGCAATTTTATAAGAATTCAAATTGTGATAATGTATTGGATTGTTAATTTTTTTTTAAAAAATGCGCGATGCGATAATGATGTAAATCGTGATCGTAAATCATTTTGACATATTTTCCATATTAATTTAATTAAAAAATGTGAGAACATAATTCTTTGCAACACTTAAAAAAAATTTATGTATTATTTAATAATACTAGAAGATGACCCCTATCTAATACTAATACAAAATTATGGACAAGTTATGATTTACCCCTGAAAATTTTTGTTGCATCGTGTTCACTATGTCTGCATAATCAAAAAGCTTTTTTTTTTTCATTTTTAAATAAATCGCGTTAATTTTTCGCGTTTATTTATGACAAGATCGATACATTTGCAAGCAACTCTTTCGTTTTTTATTTGTTGAACTTAATATCACTACATAAAATTATCACACCTGTAGAATTATAAGTATTATGCATTGAAGTGACAAATAAAAGTCATTAATCATGCGAATCCATTTAACATGCCGTTTTTTCGGGACAAAAGTTATTTATTCAATTGAATTTGTCCGGGGCTGCGGCTATAATGGAACAAAATACTCGGCATCCAAGGGATCACCGATCGAATTATCAATATCACATTGATAAAGTTCAGTGATGCATGGATTTTATTGGTCTGACGTTATTCATTGAAAAAATTAAAAATTGTAACCATTTCCTTATCTGGTTATCGACATTTTATATAAAATTGATCGACGCTTTGTTCTAATAGAGTTGATCCATATTTCCATTTGAATCATTTTTGAATCTTGCTTTCTCAATTCATCATTTTCTGTATATTAAAATTTCTGTCATTTGAAAGGATAATATTGCTAAATAATCCTCTTTGAAAATGGAACGTCCTGCACATAAACGTCCTTTATTAGAAGAGTCACCTTTACCTTTATCTGACTCTAATAATATATCTGATCACCAAGCTAAACGAATTAGACTGACTTTACCACCAATTTCTTCTTCCTTTCCGCCAACAAACGTCCCAACTTCTTACTCGTCATACAAACTACCCTTTCCTTCATCAATACATGAAAATAACAACTTTACAATCTTAGCTCCGTTATCTACTACGAATTCAACAAATTTGCCCATTAGCTCACCTATGCAAATTTTTGATTTACCTTCGATTGATTCCTTGTGCTCATTACCTCCCTTAAATAATTTCATTCAACAGACTGCGCCTTCAGTTAATCCGATGTCAGTATCGGCTATTCTATCAAATGATGAAGATACATTCGTTAGGATTGATACAAATAGTAATGAGATTGTCTCGGGAAATAATAATATTGGAAGTCGACATCATACTCCGCTTGATTATCATACCCCGCTGAATACAAGTCCTGTTATCAAAGCATCGTCCTCTCCTTCATTGCCCACACCTCTCAAGTTAGTTCAACCTATTATAGAAGGTATGAGTGAAATTGAAAATATGCATAGGATGCGACGGATGGAGAGAGAAAATAATATTGTTGAGAAATTATCTAATGAAAATGGAGAATGTGACGGAATCGAAGGCGAAATTGAAGGAGAAAATGATGGCGGATATGAGAATGAAGAGGAAGAAAGTTATGAGATGGATGAGGTGGATGAGGAAGCAACGCAGGATTATGTTATTAATGATTATGATTATCATAACGAGCCACAAGTAGTTGTTGAAAACGACGAGGCTTTGAATATGGAAGGTCGAGAGGAGCGTCATTTAGGTGAGTCAATAATTAAATGATCAAATATGTTGTTAAGCTTAAATAAATAAATATTTTGATTTAATGAAAATTTTTATCTTTTATTTATTGAAATCTTCATTTCAAATTAGGTCATTTGATCTATAATTCTAAAGAAATTTTACCGCCTCTTGAGTTCCATGAAAATGGACTACTGGAAATATGGATCGAGTCGAAATACTTGACTTGGTTTAATGAGAAAGTCAGAACGCACGCTTTATGGGGTACAGATGTATATACTGACGATTCAGACGTTGTAGCAGGTATCTGCTTGTTATCTAATAATTAAATTCAATTTTTTGTGTGAATTAATATTAAATTTATTTATTTTTATTAAAGTACTTATTCATACCGGCCATTATACGCCCCCACCGTCTTTGTCTGAATGGACTCCTGATTATCCTGATCATGACTTATGTGTTACGATCCGTGTTTTGCCTAAATTAGTCCAGTATACTTCAACTATACGTGATGGATATAAAAGTCGCTCATGGGGAAATCATCATGGCGTTAGTTACAAGATCGAAAGAGTTTGCAAAATGAAGGTAAGATTTTCATATTCCCTTTGAAATGTCGTAGTTATTATTAATTTTTATTTTCTACAGAAGGGAGAAGCTATTGGCCGATCCAGAGGCAAAGGAAGAAAGGAGCGTTTGCGAAAATTCCACGAAATGAAAAAAACGAGCATTTGGCGAAGTTTTTGGTAGTTCATATGATACGTCCGTTCTTGTCTTCAACAATGAAGAAGATCCTTGGTAATGTCTCATGGTTATGATTGTATAAATGTTTTATTCTCTTGATATAATATATATTTATTATCCTCCCTTCTTAGTTATAAATATAACCAACATATGATGATGGACGAAGAAGAACTTCGAAAACAGCTTGAAACAAACGTTTTGTATCTTGAAAATGATGAAGAACGGTAAGTATTAATCTGATCATTGATTTTGCAGTATAATAAATATTAAATAAAATTATTTATGTTAAATTAGATACGAGATTTCATATGATGCTGAACGCAAAAAATACCGTTTTGCTATTGTGGCATCTAATACGTATTTAGGAACAAGAACAATTTTCAAAGACCAAGTGGCAACAATCTTCCCTCTTGAGAAATCAAATTTGGATGAAATTTTCCGTGATGATTTGGAATTACGAGAAATGACATGGAACGTTGTCGGAGTAATTGTCGCTGATAAGACGAACCCACAGCACAGCTTGCTTTGTATATCAAAGCGAGTATATTGGAGGCGCAAAACCGAATGTAATGAAGAACGAGTTGTATAAAAAGAAGAATTTGTTTTATTCTTGGTTTGTCAATTAACAACTGGACATTTTTTTTGTTTATTTTATTTTATGATATTTATCTGACATATATTAGAAAATATCATCGTTAATATAGTAAGATACGTAAAATAAGGTTCTCTATTATACGTCAGATGCCCGAAAAAAAATCTTTTGAACCTAAAACTTTTTTCTTTTTATGAACACATACTCTCGGAAAATTATATATTTCATAATTATAAATATTGTGACAAATAATTATGTTTTTTTTTTGTTTTTTTTTTTTTTAAAAAAAAAAAAAAAAAAAATAGATATGTAAAAATTTTTATTAGAAATAAAATACAATACCATTAAAAATTAACACTAAGAATAACTTTACCAACAGTGTTACCAGATTGAAGTAAGGTTAAAGCTTCTATAAGTTGATCAAATTCAAATTCATGACCAACATGAGGTGCCTCTAGTTGTAAAGATTGCATATCATTAAAAATCTGATTTAATCTCTCAGCTCGTTCATAAATATGAATCAAATTAAATCCAAGAAGCTACGAAATAGATAATTAATAAATGACTGGTGTTTATAAATTATTTGTGTTCAAATTACTAAACTTTCAAATTACGGCTTACCGACTTATTTCCTTGTAAAATTTCCATTGGATCAATTTTGGGTCTCCAAATATATTTCCAACCTAATTTTAACCATTCATACATATTCCAAATAGGGTGTAAATTACCAGTAGGAGTAAAACTAGCGGAACCAAATAAAACATGTTTGCCTTCTTTAGCTAACAGATTATAATTAGACCAAAACCAATTACCCATAACACTATCTAGAATTATATCATAACCATCTTGTTCTTGTAATCCCATCCTTAATAAAGCTTGCCTTGCTCTCTTTTCAAAATCATTCGAAGGCTCACGTAATATAAATGTAAAATTTTCATTATCTCCATAATTTTGGTTAAGTATATTAAATTTTGAAGGGTTTCCTATTGTGCCCACAACTTTAACATTTTCATATTTTGAACATATTGAAAGTGCTAATAATCCACATCCTCCTGCTGCTGAATGAACTAACACTGTTTTATTCTCTTTAATTCTACCTAATTCTGTTAGAGCATAAAATGATGTCATTGCTTGAACCTTGAAATTTATAAATTTTTTATTTTTTTTAATTTTATTTATTTATTTTATTTTGTTTAAAAAAAAAATGATTAAAAAAAAATCTTTTTAATAATCATATATTTAACATTAAATTCTTTTAATTACCACATAAGCAGCGGCCTGTTGGTCGGTCCAATTATCAGGAGTTTGCTTAACATATTCTTCTTCAATGTTTAAATGAGTAGCATACCCACCAAACCTTGTAGCTCCATATACTCTCTTGCCTAACCATTCACTTTCTTCAATACCTTCTCCTACACTTTCAACTATACCACTAAATTCTAATCCTGGTATAAATTTTCCTTTAGGTGTAGCAGAATAAAGGCCAAAAATTGAAAAAATATCTGCAAAATTTAATCCTATACTTTTTACTTGAACTCTTAAATGCTTTGGCGGCGGTGGTGGTAAAATATCATCTTCTAATACTAAATTTGCAAATGTACCTTTAGTAGATATTGACCAAACCCTTCTAACTAGAGAAGTCATTCTTCAAAGTGAAAAAGTGAAAAAAAAATATATTATATTTATATCGATTGAACATCATATCATGTGAATATCTTTAAGCTCATGTGATAAATTTACATATTCTTAATTCCGGTCAGAATTACAATTCGTATTGTCGTAATCTAATTGGATTTAAATCTGGAATTTTGCATTACCTAATCTAAAAGTGGAATTCCATGCATTGACATCTACCAAACCAGTAAATTGTCTGACACATGATTGGAATATGTCCAGTCATCATTTGGAATATGTCAGTGTAATGACTTAGTTAAAACTAATATTTTAAAAAGTCAAGTTATATGACGAAATTATGACGAAATTGATATAACGGTAAAATCAAAAACTCGAAATAGGTAAAACTAGGCATCATTAGTCCAGTGGATTAAGAATCAAAATATTTTAAAATTTTTATTATTCATTTTTTTTAATGGAAGTAAAAGGTAATGTGATAAGTATTTGTGAGTCGGACTCACTTGTCTAATTGATTGTTAGCTGCTTACCATCTTAGATCCATCCTATACTTTCAAGTTATTGACCTGGATGCAACCTTTCACGATATGTATGATATTCTAACTGAACAACTCAAACCGCATATTAACAGGGTTAGGAAATTTGTATGTACTAGCTAAAATTTGAAATTGTATTTGTACTGTACTGCAGTGTTGTGACTGGGACGGGACATATCATTAGACGGGACAGTCTGGAACAGTCTGTGACCTTGGATATAAGTTCTGTAATAATTTGATATTCAATATTTTTTTACAGATAAGTAAATTTTTGCATTATATTTATTTTAACCTATGCAGAAAATGTAAGGTCTAATAAAAGATTCATTCTCCATAGTTTATATTTTTTTGCAAGAATTTTTTGGTTTCCAAACACATAATAAAAACGTTTTTTCAAAAAATGGATAATAAATTTTCATTATATGTTCTCTTGTATTAAGAGAAACATATAATGGTCTAAGAAAAAAAATGAAAGATATTATTTCAGGTTATACTAACGAATTTCTATTTCCATTTAATAGATATGTTAACACTTTGCAAATAAAAAGCTAACCTGGCCAATCTGCAACAATTGAAGTTATATTATTAGTAAAATGATTTACTTTTTTATTATAGTTTAGGATTAAATTTAATGCATTAAGATAATTCTGCAGAAAGTGAAGTTGCTATTCTTGTATTCCTACTAATATTGCATTTTTCATTTTATGTTTTTTTTCTTTTCATAATAGCATTATCATATGAATGTATCAGAAGTTGATCAACTTTGTCAAATTCAACCAAACTAGAGCTATTTCATTGATGTTTTTGTTTGCAAATATGATAAGTCAAAGCATTTTTGATACTGATTAATAAGTTTTTCACAAATAATTAAAGCTTCAATATTATTTGGATTATAAACAGACATTCTATTGAATATAATTGATACTGGAAGAGATTCTTCTACTTTTTTACATACACTTGTTGCAAAATGATTAGCTTCTAATAGAGAAGTATTATTAGGTTATTATTTTTCATGTATATTATGATAGTCATCTATACAAAGATTATTTTATTATCATTAAAATATTTTTCTATTCTTAGTGAATATTTATTAGCAACTTTTTTTTATAGTTATATACAATTTGGTAAGTAACAGAAATTTCAGCATAGCTTAATATATTAATTGCGTTGCATGTTGTTCCTGTTCCTGCAAGATATAAAGGCAAGTTCTAATTTTAAACTATTTATATGTTTGTTTCGCAATTCTACCATCAAATATAAGAATATAACAATTTGTTTTTTATCTTCATTTTTGTTATAACTTGAATGATCATTTGGTATTAAGATATTACATATTTTAACAAAAAATCCTTTTAGATCTAAATCTGCATGTTCAAGTATATTATCAAATTTATTTAAATCAAGTATAAGATTATTCTGTCTTCTTTTATACAAAACCATTGTTATTTTTTTGATTTTGTCTTTAAACAAAAATTTAATCGATAGATTTGGGATAGGAATAAGTCTTTTTTTATTATGAGTTTGTTTATTTTCAACAATAGTTATAAATGTGAATGGCAAACTTGTTGACCTATTTATAAGTAAGAATACTTTTGAATAATTCTATTTATCAATGTTTTTTTTATTGCCAATTTAGTTAAACATCAAAAAACATTTGAATTTTTATCACAATGATAAATAGAGCAAGGTTCATTATTAATCTTTTGTCGTAGCATTTTATTATATAAAGTTTAATATATATTTACATTTACGCGTTTAGTTTAAACTTTTATTTTACATATTATATAATTTATATTGCACAAATCTTTGTAATACAGAAAATCATTAATTAAATAAAAAAATATAAATCATATTAACAAATATTTGTTCTTATATTTATTCAAGATTATTATGCTAGTTCTCAATATATTGTTTATATTATGTTAATCTCTAATTAAATTATTTTAATTTAATCATGTTTTAAAATTATATCCAGTTAAAATTGAGTAGACTCATTTTATTTACGAATGACGTAAGTTGATCATCAATGATTGTTCATTGGCCAACAAATATATGATGATCAGCCAAACAAAATCGCTAAAAAAATGTATATAATTAGCCAATCAAATGGATTTTTAACTATGCTCTTTCTGGGATTTTTACAAATAGCAAAGAGAGGAAACTGCAAAAAAATAAGTTACTAAATTTGAAGTTAAATTCATTTTTCACGGCAGTTTCCCCCCTTTCATTACGTTCTTATTTCCTTTAAACGATAACATTTTTCTGTAAAGAAAAAAATAAAAAAAGAACTAGTCACGAAGAGCTGAATCAGGTAGATATCAACCCTTTTTTCTTTAGGCTTTTTTGTGAGATCACCCAAGCAATTTGTTTGAGCCAGTAAAAAAGTTTCGTCATATATAAAACAATATCGCAAAGGTGATTTCGTTCGAACCCAGTGGTCATTCTGGTCCACAAAGAGCAATTTGTGAGGTCACCAAGGGCAATTCCGTTTGATCCATGTGATTATTCAGTCCACAAAGAGAATTTTTGTGAGGTCACTAAAGATGATTCCATCGATCCCTGTGGTCATTATAGTACACAAAGAATAATTTGTGCCGTTTGATCTCTGTAGTTGTCCGGTCCACAAAGAACATAAAACCTAATGAAGTTTCTTTAAATAAGCTCTACTGATTCTGGAGAAGGAATTGGTTATGTTCCTTTCTTATTGAAAGAAACTTACGCTTGTTATATTATTTAATATTTAATATTAACTAGAAATTTTATTACATATTTAGAATAGTAATAAAGAAAACGAAAACCCGGTAAATAAGAAAAATAAAGCAAATGAAC